GTTGTGGCCGATCGAAAGATACTGGGCTATAATGAAGCACGAACCCCGTAAGCATCCTAAAGTTGTCACTACGGAGCAGGAAATGCTGAAATCATGGTTGAAAGCCGAAAAAAAAAATCGATTCAACCTTTGTACAAAACCTTATGGGTGGAATTGGTGGATTTGGTGATGAAATTGAGTGTATTAAAGATACGTAAACCATGCTTATAAATAGTATTACATTCCCTCAAATTTTCATCACAATCGGTTGAGAGACTTATTTTTGGAGAGTACTTCTAAGAGATGTAATTTAACTGTGGGCATCCTTTAGAAGTTCTGGAAACTTTATTGATGTGCAGCATATGTCATAGCAGTGCAGCAAGTTTTGTAAAAGCTCAGTGAGCTTTATAAATGTTCAAAGAACTTCGTAGAACCTCAAAAAAGTTCGTAGAAGAGCAGAAAATGTTATAGATCTTCATGAAATTTCGTTGTAGTTCAGAGAACTTTGTATGACTTATATAAAATTTGTATGAATTTGACAATCTTAAGAGAAATTTAGAAGATTTAGAAAAAGTCAGGAAATTCGGCCTCAAAACTTGATAACTTCGAAAAAATACAACTCAAAAACAAAAAAACAAAAAACAAATCGCTGATTTTTTCGAATTATATACCGCAGGCATCGGTTGATGAACACCTGCAGCTTCTGTGTGATCTCCGCTGATACGCACCATGTTTCGCTAGCGTACAGCAGTACAGATTTCACGTTAGAGTTGAAAATTCGGATCTTCGTGCGGAGACTAATCTGATTTGACTTCCAGATGTTTCGTAAACTCGCAAAAGCAGCCCTTGCCTTCTTGATCCGTGCACCTATGTCACTCTTGGTTCCGCCGTCCGACGCTATCTGGCTGCCAAGATATTGGAAACTTTCAACCTTCTCCACTTCCTGACCAGCTACCGTAAAATTGGATGGATTTCCCGTGTTGATATCCAACGATTTAGTCTTGCTGACGTTGATGTTGAGACCTGCCGCTGAGGAGCGTTCGGCGAGATCGTCGAGCTTACTCTGCATGTCAGAACGCCGTTGTGATACTAAAGCAACGTCATCCGCCAAATCTAGGTCGTTTAGATGCTCCATTGTAATAGGCTGCCAGAGCAACCCACGGTTCGGCACACGGTCGATCGCACCAACCATTATCTCGTCGATTACGATGAGGAACAGTAGCGGTGATAGAATACATCCTTGCCTCACTCCAGCGACTACCCGAATAGGGTCAGATAGGGCTCCGTTGTGCAGCACCCTGCACGTGAAAGCCTCATACTGAGCTTCGATGAGGTTGACGATTTTATCCGGAACTCCCTTGCGCCTTAGGGCGCCCCACAGGTTTTCGTGGTTGAGTCGGTCGAAAGCTTTTTCGTAGTCAATGAAAACCAAGTAAAGGGACTCTTGGAATTCGTTGACCTGCTCCAAGATTATGCGGAGCGAGACAAGGTGGTCTATACAAGGTGTGGAATTGTAGGCCTGAATGTATTGGTGCACTTCGTTTTTCACTCGGCTTTCATTGCGCTTCGCACGATTCGTTTCTTTCGTTCACTAAATCACCCTTGTAGTGACGTCATAGCGTTTGTTTCGATCGGCGCTTGCATAGGAAAATTAATATGGATTACCGAATGTATGTATGTTACCAAAATTTATGAATTGTCTGTCGCTAAATGTTGAGATAATTTATTGATTATTGAATTATCACACTGTATACCATGAAAAAGTAGTCTGTTTGTGAGTTTTTGCCTGTTTTCAAGTAAGGAGTTATCATAAAATAAAAATTACCAGCTAATATTTCGCGGCGACTTTACAAAAGAATACAATCAAGCAAAATCATCATGCAAAAATAGCTAGGATTTGTTTTACTTCTTATTTCGCAAATTTTCTTTCGAGTGTTATGACGTCGTCACCATCGTCTCCCGCAAAGTTTACATTTTTCCCTCTACCAACATATACGTCAGGGCTAGATCTCCACACCTTGTATAGACCAGGTTGATATGTCTCGAGGACGAGTAAATATAGGGTAGATGGGGGCAATATGATCTCTCAAAGAAAAGCACATCATAAAACATGAAAAACATTCTTAAATGCATGATAGTTGTGTAGTAATATTTAACCACTGAGAACCACTGTCGATCCATATCAATCCACACCATATGGTGCACCAAACATCAACAACCAGTCATAAAGGCCATCGGCCTCAAAAATGCATAATAACCTAAATTAGGAAATTATTCAATTTCAACCATATGTGACACTGCAATACCACACACCGATAAGCGCTATTTTCCTTCTCCTCTTTTCGCCCCGCGTGTGGCCGTACCGACGAGCATTCGAACGGGTGGCGTCAAATTAATCATTTTGTTCGACCATTTTCCACAGAGATGGCGCTGTTCCGCTGGTAGGAAGTGATAAAAATCCCCATATAGAAGTTGAGATAAGTGGGAATAATTCTCTTTCGGTGCATATTCAGGTAAAAAAAAGTGAACGACAACCTAAAGAAATTAATCAGGGACTTTGTAGTTCAGTTTTTGTCCCGGAAATTATTATTAAACAAACTACAATTAAATAAAAATGATTTTTCCCCATACAGTTTTACCTGATTTACTACCTGTTCCCAGAGAGCCAAAAAATTCAAATTTGAGAGAGAAAATTTGCTCTCACGACCTCAATCTCTCAACATGCCATGTATTTTGTTGACACTCGATTTGTGATTTCCCTTTCACAGATTACAAAATAGAGTACCTGACACTACAACACATGTCTGGTACCTCTATATATGCATTTGCTTTAACATTTAAAGTCCCTCCTTTTTTACATATTCTGCGCAAAAGATACTTTATGCTCCGCCCCATACATAAAATTCGGCGGGAAATTCTGTGAGGGGTGAGCTATTTTGTGTGCAGAATGTGTAAAAAAGGAGGGACTTCGAATAATAATCTAAATGCATGTATAGAGGTACCAGACATGTTTTGCACTGCTGTCCTCTGTGAACAATTATAGGAAAACAGATTGTGTATAGTTTCCGATAGATGTCTCCGCAAACAACAGCAGTGACATCTGATGGAACATGAATGCAGAAGCTTGGCAAAATGATTAATTGCACAACTCAACAGATCGAATAGTCCACCAAAATTCTGACACAGCATTCAAGAACCTTTTTGCCGATAGTCACTCCAGATGTCTTGCTTACTCATATACAAAGCATAGGTTAAGACCAAACTGTAAAAACATATATAAATGAATGATTCTTTTTAATAAATGACAATCTTTGGCTGAGAGCTATTGTGGTTCCCGAGAAATTCTAGCAAAAGCTTGATTTGCTCAGCTATCACTCTTTTGTGCGCAAGGGTATGTGACTGATAGTTGACTCGAACGAAATCTTATATTGCTTCAAAAATTGTCTTTAAATATTGACGTTACCCTTCTTAAAGCTTCAACTCGTTATTACCTATATGTATTTCGGGCCAGTGAATCATAATTTCACATAAAACAGTTGCAAATCAACAAATAAAAAAAATTACTTGCAATCGTACATAGTCAACAACCCATCAGTTACCCTTCACCAAACAAAACAAAACAAACTGTCAACTCATTTTTCCTAGCGGCTTAATTTGATTTTTGCTGTGCCCGTTCGACGTCGGCTTTGAATCGCAGGTAAAATATTTTTCGTATCAATTCAAATGAAATGCATTTCATAATAAGTGTTTCTTTTTCAGATGTGCCATCATGCATATGTCTCCAACTTTTGTAGGACTGGAGGGACGGGAGGTTGACTACGAGGTAGAATTTCTGGAGGAGGAAGCAGAAGCAGGACCATCAAATGTGCAGCAGGCAAAACGATCGTTCCAGGATACACTGGATTCTGCTTCGCCCGGAAGCCCTGGAAGTGAAAGTTAACAAGCGGAGCCAAAACAAATATTTCGATTCCCAGCCAGCAACTGTATTCATCAGAAACTTCAAGGGCCACAAAAAAGGTCCTTCTGTGGGAAAAGTGCAAGTGAACTGTGAATCAGCTGAGGAGGTAATGCAAACTGTATGGGATTACTGTGAAAAGTTCATTCGCAGAGAGGCCGTGTTTGAATCACTCGCTGGTGGAGATGCTGATCAATTTACCGTGCACTGGAATGATGATTTGAACCCAGAAGTCGGCGATATGGATAAGTTCATCTCCTTCCAAGATAAAGCCTCGAAACGCACGTTTAAACCATTACAGTTGCTAGAAAAGCCAGACAAAATGCAGAAATTTCTGAACAGAGATATTAACGTGTTTGTGCACATTTATTCGGAGTCGGTGACCTCAGCCGCTATGTACGAAACACTGCGAGTGCAGCTGATAAAACCGGAGGAGCGTGACCGAGCAGGAGCAGCATCCAACCAGGCAAACAGTAATTTGTCCACTGAGTTGAAGGAACTCTACAAGCTATCCTACATTTCATCGGACATCAACTGGTATGTATGGGCTTCGTACTTACTGACCAAAGACGCGCTTGAACGAGAGGAATTGAAGTTGCGAGGACCTCCCCAACATCTGATACATTTGTTCCAGACGGTTCCCTTATGCTCTTAAAACGTGCTGAATCACACTCGTCAGGATGTATGCATTGCCCAAAATGTTAATTCAGGGTATAAACAATTGTTGGATGGCCTGCAAGCAGATTTGGACCAGCTTATGACATATGCTAAGGCGATGCAATTGCGCTTGACCGCATTGCAAACGATGCAGGCAACTAACACTTCATTGCTAGCAGATGTGTCTGGCAGTATTGCTGTATCTGAAGATAGCTTTGGGCAGAAACTCGCCGAGGAAGTGACCGACTGCTTGGATGTCGACCATCAATAACGATTTGCTGATCCTGATTCCGAACGATTCCATACGCATTCGGGACAACCAACTGATTGAAGCTGTTGCTTATTGAACATCTCTTTGTTTTGAGTTTATGAAATAAAAAAAGGTGAACAACATTTGATTTATTGTTTATTAATCCTTATTACGTACATATTTGAATGTATTTAACGTCGCAGAAATGGTTGTTGTGAGATCCGAAGAGCTATTTTCTACGTAGACACGTTGTAGTTTTTTCTTGCAGTATCCAAAAATATACTCGATTGGATTGAAAAACGGTGTATACGGAGGCAAAAAGATAACATGGATTCCCAATGACCGGAGGTACTCAACTATTCGTCGATGGCAGTGAATTCTAGCCCCATCCAAGATCCAGACCGAATTAACTCCAGGGTGTCGATAAACTTCTCCACTGTTGGCAAAGCTACGACAACATTCAAAGAACTTTGCCCTCGTGAAAGTTCCTTCCGTCAAGTACGTGTTCTTCATTCCTGTCTGGCCCAAGAAGCAGAGTAAGGATACTCTGGCTTTGCGGTTGAATTCACCCCTGTAAATCAATTTTTCGCCGACCTTGGCGTAGCCTCGATTCCGCAACATACCTCTGTTGTCGATCGATACTTCGTCCAAAAAGATAAGGTGATGTAGGTCCCAGTTTATTGCAGCCAGCTCATTGACGAAATGACAAATCTGAGATTCTTGAACCTGGATCGCCCGACGCTCTAGAACTTTCCACGTATATCCTTGCTCGTGTAGTATTCTGGAAACAGAGGACGTACTGATGGAGCAGTTGAAAGTTTTCTCAAAACTATCCCTGGCCTCATCTAAGAATAATGTCGGATTTTTTTTAAACTGTTCGATTAACCACCGTCGTTTCTCTGCTCCAAACTGCAAGGACACTTTTCTTCTCTCTTTGCGAGCCACCAATCCACTTTCGCGATAACGTTTTATCCAGCTGCTAATTGTAGTGTGATGCTTCCCGTACATTTTTGCCAATTGCGATTTGGACAAGCCCAGGAAATAGAACCCGTACAGCACGTGATACTTCGTATTGGTTGATGCATGTCGGCCAAGTACCTCTTCTTTAATTCGATACATTTTGTCGATGTTATGGAAAGTATGGATTTGGAAACTGTTATGAATAGAACAAACTCGGAAAATTTGCTGTTCGATACGGATTTTTTTGACGTTTGTTTGTTTACATATTCATCAAGATAGCTGGCGCACAACCCGGCGGGCAACTGATCGGCGCATAAGTTGTTGGGCATTATGTGGATTTTTCTTAAGAATCACAATAACTCTGATGGTCTTTCGGTCCGAACAGTAGATTACTTTTCGAAGCCCTCAATAGTACGGTTACCGATCTGAACTAAAAGAAAGCCTTCTCCGAAACAAAGTACATACAACAATCAATACGAAACTAACGATTTTAAATTGGCTCACTACTTGACTAGCCTATTGGTCCCAAGCAAACGATTAACGTACCCCATTCTAGTCGAAATTCTACTACTACACAATGTTTGTTTTGATTCGCTATGAAAGCTTGACAGATAAAATGAGGGGTTAGTGGATTTTCCTATGTTTCGAGGGGTGAATCGATTAGCTTGGGACCGAAGAGAGTACCAGAGCTGACCCAAAAAGTTGAGCACGTTATTTCGGGACCTTCTAGTCTTAGAGTTACCTCTATGGTACATATACGGCACTCAACACAGTTGTGATCAACTAATGCTTTGGAATATGTTTGATATTATACTGTATACAAAATATGGATGAAATATAATAGACTCATTAAATTCATATGTTTGAAAAATGTTCTTTTTTGCTCTGATCAAAAACCATACGGGGCATGACGGGCCACCACACGGGGCAATATGAGCACTAGACTGCCAGCGAAAATGGTAATTTTTAATTTCGCTAACAAACCATACACAAAATGTTTATTGCCTCGAAAAAAGACCCTATGGAAAATTTGAGCTCAATCGGACATGATTTAGGGGTGGCGCAAACGCGTCAAAGTTTGACTTTTTTCACTCTCAAAAATCTCATGAAATTTCGGAAATCAAAAAAAATTTTTGATGCCAAATGTCTTAAAAATGCATGAAACGTCGAGATTTGGTGTTATCTCGAAAATTTTATTTTTTTTCAAAAATCGACTTTCTGGAACTTTGAATTTTTTTTCATGAGTTCTATATGGAATATAGAAGATTGATGAGTCGGCTTCTAAAACTGTTCACAATTGTCTCCAACCTGCTTATATATCGAATTAAATCACCATTTAGGATCTAAGGGCCTGTTCATAAACTACGTAGACAGTTTTTTTTTGGGATTCTTGACCCCCCTCCCCCTGCGTAGACAATTGTCCATACAAAAAATTTAAAATTTGTATGGGCCGTGGATAATTCTCGACCCCCACCCCCCCTAAACTGTCTACGTAGTTTATGAACAGCCCCTAATACGAAATAATTCACTAGGGTGTTCCAAATATTCTTCATTAGAGTGGTCCAAAAATCAAAATAGGTATGTAAAAACCATTACTTTTTACCAAGGGAGATTTTCGAGAGTGAAAAAAGTCAATCTTTGACGCGTTTGCACCACCCCTAAATCATGTCCGATTGAGCTCAAATTTTGCATAGGGTCATTTTTCGATGCAATAAACATTTTGTGTATGGTTTGTTAGCGAAATTTGATGGTCAAATTTTTCCCATACATTCATTGGCAGTCTAATGAGCACCCTAGTAAAAATTAACGATTTGGCTAGTTTTCGCTTGAAAACAGCGTTAGAAATCACGTAAAATAGAAATATACTTACTGTTAAATAAACGTGATTCTAATTCATTGATGTAATTTGTTTCATAAAATCAAACAAATTAAAGAAGGTAACATGACGGCTATCGTAACACGACAGCAGTTTTCCCGTTAATCGTAGCAGGAACACATGATTTCTGTGCAGTTATGTACCCAAGAATGGCAACGATGACATAGATTCCATCCATCTCCGTCAGTGGATGAACTAACCTGAGCCCTACAATAGAAACACAGAGTGTCCTGTGGAAGATTATCTATGTCTTTCTTTCTTGCTCGTTTTCCTCCTTTTTCGGTTTGGGTCTTAGAGTTTCGCTTCAGCTTCTTGATCTGCTTGATGTCCTTGTTAGCCTGAAACGTTTTGAGAACATCTCTATGCGGACTCGATGTGATGATAGACGATTTTTCCGTTTTTCTGTTTGACGCAGCCTTCCTTCGATTCGATTTTGGTAACGATCGTAGCACGAGCGGTGACACGTTGAAGCCACTGATCGGTGTCGAGCTAATTGAAACCATCGCTGGTAACGGCTGTGAATCAACCGTTCTACAAAGCGACTTCAACGGCACTGGTTGTGGGTTGGAAGATGAGCTAAGTGTTTCGTATTGTAAAGCGTTGTTGTTGTTGTTGTTCTTTATAAGCGACCGTTTAACCATTTGGTCATTCGGGTTGTTTTTGATAAATTACAGTTTAAAGCTTAAAAATTAGTATTTGAATTTAACACTTCTTAACCTATTTCCGGTTCCCTTCTTGGATCTGGTCATGGTCGGGTCTTCCTTAATTAAATGTTGAGGACTGCTACAGATTTGGCAGCTTTGAGTACTGCTTTCTTCCATTGTTATCTTAGTATGTTGATGATACCGATGATTAGTGAGATAAGTGATAAGTGAGAGCTTCCAGTTGTGGTCTTCTAGGTATCCCGTGTGGACTTCTTGATTCTCGATTATGGTGACGTCCTGGTCACCGTTTTGGGTGGTATCTTTGCTGTCTGCGTTTCCCATTGTATGCGTGCTGGATGTATGGTTGTACTGTAGTTGAACCGTGGATGATTTTTTTTTTTTTGTAATTACTTTATTTGTACAGGCTCAATCGAATAAACTTTACAGAGCCGAGTTATCCTTTGCGTTATACATTGTTACTGTCTTATATTTAAAGTTAAAGGAACTGGACCGAGTACTCGCGGTCGTTTCGAGGTTAGTGGAGATTTACAATTTTTTGGATGGGAAAAGGGAAGAAGGAGGTTTTAAATGTGGTTTACGATATAACTATTTAATTAATCCTAAAGCATGAAATTATTTCTATTCATCTTGAAAACAAACATTGAAAAAAAAAAAAAAAAAAACCCCAGACGTACAAAACACAAACTAAACACAAGGTTAAGCAAACTTACAATCTAAGGTTAATATCCTTAAAGTAAACATATATGAGTTTCATAAACTCCAGATCGCGTCTAGCCAAAATATCCCGAACTGGAACATTAGGTTGTCTACCTCGAGCCCGAAGGGAATCATAAAAATGTGATCTGACTCCACGATACTCCGCACAAGACCAAAGGATGTGATCAGCGTCCTGGTAACCTTGTCCACATTCACAGAGATTGCTGTCTCCCAACCCCACACGGAACAAGTGAGCGTTTAGACAATAGTGATTGGACATGAGACGAGACATCACGCGTATGAAGTCTCGACTCAAGTCCAACCCTTTGAACCATGCAAACTTCGACACCTTAGGGATAATTGAATGTAGCCATCGTCCCAAGCTCCCTTCATTCCATTGATGTTGCCAGCTAACGAGCGACTGCTGACGATAAATAGAGAAAAATTCACTATAGGCGATCTGTCGATCATAAATGTCGCCTTCCATAGCGCCCACCTTCGCAAGTGAATCCGCCTTCTCATTGCCCAAAATTGAGCAATGCGAAGGGACCCACGCGAAGGTGATGATGAAAGAGCGCACGGATAAAGCACTAAGCAGTTCTCGTATTTTCAAGAGAAAATACGAGAAGTGCTTTACCGGCCTAATGGAACGGATAGCCTCGACAGAACTGAGACTATCCGTAAAAATAAAGTAGTGGTCTGGAAGAAGTGAAGCAATAGTTTCCAAAGTGTAGTGAATTGCTGCCAGTTCAGCCACATACACAGAACAAGGAGCTTCAAGTTTTCGAGAGGCGCTATGAAATTCATTAAATACACCAAAACCAGCGGACTCCTCTATTAGAGATCCATCTGTGAAAAACGTTCTTGCAGAATCAACATGGCCAAACTTTGCAGCGTATAATGACGGAGCAATCATAGGACGATGATGCTCTGGAATTCCGCGGATTTCCTGCGTCATAGATAAATCAAAATTCACTGAATTGCCGAAATCGGAGAAGACTACACGATTGGGAATATTTCTTGAAGGGCTGACATCCTGTGTTAAATATAGGTAGTACAAAGTCATAAAACATGTTTGAGGATTTAGCTCCAGAAGCTTCTCAAAATTTGCAATCACCAGTGGGTTCATTACTTCGCAACGGGTGAGGAGCCTCAGAGATAACTCTGAAAAACGGACGGATAGTGACAACATGCCCGCCAGCACTTCGAGACTCATAGTATGAGTCGAGTGCATGCATCCTAACGCGATACGAAGACAACGATACTGGATCCGTTCCAGCTTGATGATGTGCGTTTTAGCTGCCGACTGGAAGCAAAAACTGCCGTACTCTAAAACCGATAAAATCGTTGTCCGGTACAACGTCAGAAGATCTTGTGGATGGGCTCCCCACCACGTTCCGGTAATTGATCGAAGGAAATTGATCCTTAGTTGGCATTTTCTTCTCAGATACTCAATGTGGGATCTCCAGGTGCATTTGGAATCGAACCAGACCCCGAGATATTTAAAAGACATGGAATGAGTGATCGGTTTACCCAAAAGTTGAAGCTTCGGTTGTGCTGGGCTATGCTTCCTAGAAAAAACGACCAACTCAGTTTTCTCCGTGGAGAATTCGATACCTAGCTGAATAGCCCAAGTAGACAAATTGTCCAAGGTATCCTGTAAGGGTCCTTGCAGGTCAACCTCTTTTGGCCCTGTGATAGACACTACGCCATCATCTGCAAGTTGTCTCAACGTGCAATTGTCACTAAGACAATTGTCAATTTCTCTAACGTAGAAATTGTACAAAAGGGGGCTTAAACATGAGCCTTGGGGGAGACCCATGTAGCTAAATCGAAAAGCTGTAGAGTTTCCATGAGAAAAGCTCATATGTTTTTCTGACAGCAAATTGTACAAAAAATTATTCATTAATGGAAACAATCCA